TTTACGCCTTTCTCTCGAAAAATCCATTTCATTTCAAATGCGCGAGGTTTTTGGACATCCTCTAGCTCCTTGACACAACGACTTATTAGGGCATAATGTAGGGTCATCGGTAGCATCCCAATAATCTTGGTGGTGCAGAGGATGAAGATTAGGTGCCCAACTAGATTCAAGTGCATGGATGGTATTTACTGGATCGATTAAATTCCAAGAACTAACATGAAAATGCGAGCATGCGGCCATAACATGAGAACAAGGTATTTTATAAATTATAAATTTTTCACAACTGCATGTCCGGTCATCAATACAAACAACATGTGTATTACCGTTACTACTGACCACCGCCGTAACTTTTCGTCGCATGTGAAATGGTGTAACAGTACACATTCCTGCTTTTACCTGGTTGGGTTGCATAAATTCGATTGCTTCAGATGAGTACTCCAAACCATCCTCTACGCACCATTGTACATGTTCATAGCGTTCACAAAAGTATTTTGCGAGCCGATAAAATATGAATTTAACACATGCAGTGATGGGAAGCATCCTAGCACCTTTAAATGCACCATTGAACACCTCAGAAACATTAGTTGTAGTTGTTCCGTATTGCTGACCACCATCATAGGCAAGTGTCCACTGTTGTGTTGGAATATCAGCTAACCACTTCCATGCTTCAGGATTTATACATTTAATTTCTTCCATTATCATATAAACTTGCGAATCTAATGTGTTATCCCAGCCTTCCACACTTGATCTTTCAAATACGTGTTATTGTAACGTGTGTTGAAATTGCTTTGTACATGTCTTAGACAGAAACGATGATAGGCGTATGGCTCATTCCACCCAAAACCTTGTTTCTTAACCGCTGAAATTATACATTTACGTCAATCTGAGATTAAGCATATACCAACTCTATTCGGTACAACAGAGTGGCGTAGATGATATAGGAACCAACCTCAACTTTCACTAGTCTCCTCATAAACAAAGGCAAATGCTATAGGGAAAGTTTGCTTCTGAGCGTCAATCCCAGTAGCAATAAGAAGCTTATGCTTGTACTTGCTATTTACAAATGTGTCATCGATGCTGATTACAGGCCGATAATAAACAAACCCATCAATAGAAGCTTTGAATGCCCAGAACACCTTTCCAAATATATCAAATTCGGGAGCACAAGCCTCATATTGCCACTTTACAATCGTCTTAGGGTTGTATTTCACAAGAGCACCCATAAACCTCGGCAACATGTTGTAAGAACAATCCCAGTCACCAAAAATCTTGGCTATAGCCTTATTCTTCGCATTTCACGCCTTCTTGTACGTTATCAAATAATTATACTCTTTTTTCACCATTTCAATGATGACAGACATTGTTACATCAGGTGTAGCTCGAACCACACCCTTAATCCATTGAGAAATAAAACCTGCATCAAACTGACAGTGGTCCTGGTTTAACATTAAGTAGAAACAAGTGTGAGGTGCCTAATATTTTGTGATCTCAAACATTCCATGCTTTGCCTTCAACACCGCCCGTAGCCTCCATTTGCATCCACATTGTGCATACATCTTGTACCTCAACACCCATGCGTTTTATTTGTATCAACAACAACATATTATTAGTGCATTTAATTGAATACAATTTAACTGCCATCTCCAGGTCTTTTTTACTCTTGAACACCATACTCTTAGCCAATTCTGGTCTTGTAGATTCCCATGTTTTAATTCCATGTAAAATGCACAAACTGTCAACTTCATTTTGGTTTCCCGATTCAACATTTGAGAAAAATGTTGACTCTAGCTTATGCATAGGAACCTCACCATCATCCTCAGCAGAATTAACTTCAGCATCATAATCATTATCATCAGATTCATCACTCAATACATTTTCTGGCAACTCTTCTTCTTCGTAGTAATCATTCTGGTCATTAGCACACATTCCTTCATATATATTATTAGCAATTTGATGCAGTACAAGTGCTTGGATAGGGTCCACTGGCGCTGGTGTTGGGGTAACTATAATCATTTCCATCCCCTCGTTCCCCAGTCCAATACTATACTCTTGCTGAGATGAGCTTTCGGGAAAAGTACTAGGCCCTGTTTCAGCTTGTACATGTGTATATCGATTGTATTCTTCCATACACTGCATTGTTAAAGTGGTGTAATAATTACCCACCATGGCTGAAGGGTCGAGCACTGGGATATATGGTTGTTGGCTAAGCATGGAAGTGTATGAACCAACATCAAGCCAACCTTCATTACTTTCACCAATGTCATCTGCCCTAACCTCTTCGTTGATATACAAATCAACTTTGTTAACACCTTGATTGTCAAATACAACATCCACCATTGCCTCCACACCATCGTTGTCAACAACTTCTACTGGAATATATATAAACAAGTTAGTTCCCAATGCAGTAGGAAACCTACAGATAAGTTTGAGGTTGTATTTATTCCTATCTATCTCCGTCATATCATGCAACCTATCTACCAATGTCGAGTATGTTGTGTCATGTGAAACCATTATCACACGCTTATAACCATTATCATATCGTAACACATCATGGTTCTTGAATATGCTATCACCCCAATAAATCATCACAGAAGCACATCTTTCAGCCATTCTTAACAATTCTACAATAAATACATCAAAAGTTAATGTGTATAAACAACCAAAATTTTTGCTTTCATCGAAACTTTTGTTTGTTCATGTTTTGAAATGTAAATAAACCGGGTAGCCCATTCTAATTTTCAATCACCCAATATTAATGAAGGAGCACATTACGTATATAAAATGGTTGGCACTTACATCAGGAAAGTAATCTATTAAAACTGCTAAAATATTTTGAAAACTTTACAAAATGAACTCGTCAATTCTAATAGAAACTTTTGTGTCCCTCCTAAATTAAGTTCGATATGCTCCAGTAAATTAATACCTTAATTATTAGGACTCCAATACTGTGCAAAATAGACTACACTCATTCATTCAATCGTGACTGGTTTGGGGGGAAGAGATGGAAAAGTATAGAAAAAAAAAATGAAAAAGTATAGAAAAGAAAATCTGAAATTAGAGCACAAGAGTGACTAAATTTTACAAAGAATGCAAAAAAAATGAATTTGAGACCTTTGAATTACCAAAAGTCAAAATAAATACATCAAATAACTCCTAACAATTTTCCCATATGGGATTATACATTGAAATATTGTATACAAGTTAAACTAAATACCGAAGAGAGAGAGAGAGAGAGTAATTTTTTTGAAATAAATCATTAAGAACTGACTTAAACAAAATCTAGACTCACAATGGTATTATTGATTTTACTTTTTCTTACGGGCCTACCGCACTTGGAATAACAATTTCAAAAGATAATTTTTTGTGTGCGATTGTATTTTGATTTCCTTGTTGAACATAAACACAATCACACCCCTTTGACTTATCACTTCTCTCAAAAATTTCTTTTATTAATAAAAAAAAATTTACAAAAATGATATTGTCATTGACATTGTATAACTATCTCACAACAACTTTGGCATCATGTCTATTGCATTTCACACGTACAAAATAATGGCTTTATCGAAAAATCATGATTCAACCCCCAACTGATGAAAATGAGTGATAAATTATCCTGCGAACTCTATACTTCAGTGATTGATCTAGGTTTAGAAATTTCAACTAATACAAAGAGCATGAGTTAGAGTAAGTAGGCCAAATATTGACGCGTCAATGCTGATGAAATGATCCCAAAATAGTACAAATTACTTTGGTACTTATTTCTCAACAAGTATGCAATCCACGAAAATATGTGGGATTTAAAGCAACATCTCGGAGAACAAACATGGAACAACATGCCGTCCCTAAAAACAGTGAGACATTAGTGCATCATCCAAAAGAAAATTTGATTATTGTAAATTCATCAGAAAATTAAAAGTAGGGGATGACTATATTTATTCTTATTCAACTGCTGATGCTAGGTCTTTCTCTATTGCTTTCTCCTTTCCTTTAAATATTATTTAGATGGAAAGAAGCCTAGTATATAGTGATTTTCATGTACATGGTGTGTAGAATTATCATGATGGTAGCTCTAATCTCAAAACTTCTAGACTCAACTCAATCCACATTATCATGTACAATTATCATGTAGAATTATCATGTTTGGGGAAAACCTCCAGACTCAACTCAATCCACATTATCATGATGGTAGCTCCGATCTCAGAACTTCATACACAAAACAAAAGTCAAGAGAAGATGTAGAAGTCTTGTTAAATGAAAATAGTTCCAGTATGCTTATATCAAAGTGAGCATAAAGATTGAAAACTTCTCAAGTCCACAACATTAATTCTCAAAAATAATTCAAATTTCTCATTCAAACAGCAAAGCAAATCAAAAGTACATATGATAGGCATATAAATCTACTAAAATCTCGAATAAAACATAAAATCAAAGCAAAAGTTCAGATGGTATGCACATATATTAGAGTGTATAGACACTTTTATATAAAACATCAAGTTTTTCTGGACGGCATCTATGACAATAAACATCGATAGACACTTGCGACTTACCCGCAAAGCTAAAATCAAAAACCAGCGTACGTTAGGGAACGAGACGTTCACTACCAAGTCTGTTTTACTTATAAATTTTATGCAATCCAGATATTTGTGCTTAGTATTTTACATAATTATTAAACAACTGAATAGAGCAAGAAAAGTCATATTACTATGTCATTGCTCTGTTTTTCTATTATTCTAGGACATCAGGGGCAATGGTTCACATGAATGATTTTCACCAAAGAGGCAGATTTTAAATTCTGAAATAATTTGACAAAGATTGGTTATGGTAAAAATTCGATTTAGGGCAAAATTCTGAAATAATTCTGAGATTTTAAATTCTGACATAATTTGACAAAGATTGGTTAGGGAAAAAATCAACTTAGGGCAAAATCGAATTTTAGGGCAAAATCGAATTTAGGGCAAAATTCGATTTTGGGCAAAAAATAGTTAGAGCAAATATGGAGAATGGACAATGTACTCATTGCTCACCTGGTGGAAGTCGCTGGTCACTGGTGATGGAGGTTGTGGTGGCTGGTTAGAGGCTGTGGTCGCTGGTGGTGGATCTCGTTGGTCGTTGGTGGTGGAGGCTGTGGTCGCTGGTTGGAGCTCGTTGGAGGCTGTGGCCGCTGGTTGGAGCTCGTCGGAGTGTTGTCCGACTGAGAGTGGTTGAGGCGGAGGAGAGTTAAGTGGGAGTAGTGTGATATTTGAAATTAATTTAAGTAGCTTGTGATATTTGAATAACATGTGATATAATATTTGAAATAAAATTGAACGTTAAAATCGTCATTTTAAATGACGTTTTTTAAGTCATTGTTCAAAATGATGTTTTTTTCTCCTTTATAAATTTTAACGTCTGTTACTATCGTTTAAAAAAATCATGTGTAAAAACGTTATTTTGAACGACGACTTAAAAAACGTCATTATCAATGACGTTTTCAAGAAAAAAATTTAAACTTTAAATCGTCATTTCAAATAACATTTTTAAAAAAAGACTGGATTTGAGAATTAAGTTTAAAAGTGACTGGGTTTGAGAATTAAATTTTGAGGGGGCATGGGTTTGGTCAAAAGCTCCACTAGTTCGTCTGCTTGTTTATTTTTTTCCCCTTGATTGGACATCGAGCTCCTATTGATTTGATGTTAACATGACACCACTATAATCTCATTCTTAATACTGTATAGGTTTACCTAATTTGTCAGCCAAGACGAGCAAAGAAGGAAGAAAAGATAAAAAAAAAAAGTGATGCAAACGACATTGCAGACCAAACACATTAATAATTTCATATATCAAGTTGAGAAACATATGACTTAATCAATACATTTGACAGAATTAGAGTTACTTCTTAGCAATTTCCCGTTAGATTGGAGGCCAACTATTGTGGCTTAGAGAACATGACCATATGATCCGTAGAGATGGCCTTAACCTCATTTGGTGGATTACTTTCTTTCATCATGTTTTCTAAGATTGGGCACACTATTTCTGCGAGTTCAGATACTAACCACCATAGTCCAAAATAGTTTAGAACATGTTTCCTGAGGAACAAGGGTACTTGGCCCTCAAAAGGTATAGGAAGTATTGAACGATGAGACTTCAAGATTACCAAAGATCAAGTTCAGCCATTGAATCACCCCTAAGAATTCTATCATCCACATTCAGTTGTCCTACGTTATCGATTTATCATCATTGCACACTATGAAAACTCGATGCACTTATATGTAATTTTCTTTAGTAAGTGTTGTTTCCTTCAACGACTCTGCATCATTAAACATAGGATCTTGCCTTTCCAACAACATTGCAAGAGTTAGAATTTGTAAAAATATTGGGCCATTGGAAGCTACAATCCTTAGGTGTGACATGGTGTGACCTTTTAAAAGCAATGTGATATCATTCCAGGGGATTAAGCTCCTAAAATCATGGGATGAGCTGTTGGGACGGTGCTTGATGGTTTGTACAACTTTTTCTGCTGGAGGAGCTTGTTTAGAGGATTGGAGGTCAGCTTGGATGTTGTTCATGTCCGAGCAGCGGCAATGGATGGCGCCGATCTTCCTACATGCTAGGGATGACATTTCGCTCCTTGTCGGTCGTCCCATCCTCAATCTTTGAAGTCGTGTTGTTCAAAGTTGAGTTATGATAACTAGAGATTGATCTGCTGATTATGGTATTATCAAATATAGCTCAAACCATTTTTATAACAGTTGATAAAAACCAAAGTGTAGCTCAACCATTTTTATTTATTTATTTATTTTCTCATGCCAACAATCTTATTTATTTATCAATTAATTTACTTATTCTAAACAGTAGGTTGTGGAATATATAACACTTGTTAGAGCTACAAGTGCCAGGATCAATAATACTTGTCAGCAATTTCCTGCAGATTGGAGGACAAGTGATGAGGCTTAGAGAACATGACCATATGATCCGTAGAGATCATCTTCACCTCATCTGGCGGATTATTCTTGATCATCCACATTTGAATGTCCTTTGTTATTGCTTGATCTTGGCTACAAACAATGAAAATTCGATGGACTGATCCATAATTTTCCTTGGTAAAAGTTGGGTCCCTCACTGACTTTGCATCGTAAAATAAAGGATATGATCTCAGCATCAACATTCCAAGCGTCAAATCTTGTTAAATTCATTGTGTGACCAAATTAAAACTAATGCAAAGTTAAAATTCTTTAAATTTAGATACTTTCAAATATGAGGATTATTCTTCTATCTGATACACACATGTACACACAATTAAAACTCCTTAATTGTAAAAAAATTTCAAATTAGGATTCTTTCTCTCTATATCATGTATCCAAATTCAAAATTTTTAAACCCCCAAAACTTATAATACTTGAACCCTATTTGTATGGGCAATTATGAAATTCGTCATTTTTTCTGATAAACCAACCGTATTCAAAACTTTTAATTTTGGAGTAGAAAATTTTTATCTTATACATTAATTTGTTGTATAGTGCCACACTATGAAGTCACTCTATTTCAAATTTGAAAATTCAATTTTTATAAAATTTTCAAATTTTGGGGTAATGTATTGATTCATCTTTTGTTAACACCCTATTTATAAACTATATGTAGTGAGTAGAGATTTGAAGATTTTGGGTTTATGAGTTGATTCACTCTTTATTGTCACACTATTTTGAGTACAATTTTTTGTATTTTGGGGATTTATGTGTTGATTTTCTCTTTGTTGTCACACTTTTACTCTAACTTTATGAACTGAGTACAAATTTTCAATTTTTAGGAATTATGTGTGGATTCACTCTTTCTTGTCACACTATTAACTAGCTTCTTGAAATTGAGTGCTAGTTTTCATAGTTTATGTGTTATGTGTCGATCCACTCTTTGTTGTCACACTTTTACCCTAACTTTGTAGACTAGTACCAATTTTTAATTTTTGGGAATTATATGTGGATTCACTCGTTCTTGTCATGCTAGCTTCTTGAAATTGAGTACTAATTTTTATAGTTTATGTGTTATGTGTTGATCCACTCTTTGTTGTCACACTTTTACCATAATTTTGTGGACTAGTACCAATTTTTAATTTTGGGAGTTGTGTGTGGATTCACTCTTTGTTGTCACATTATTACACTAGCTTCTTGAATTGAGTACTAATTTTCATAATTTGTGTTAAGTGTGGATTCACTATTTATTGTCAAACTATTAGGCTAGTTATGTGATTAGAGCACCAATCTTCATTTTTTGGGAGTTATGTGTCGATTCACTCTTTGTTTTCACGTTAGCCAAACAGTGACATAAATCCAAAATGTAAAATACGTTCATCGGATATTAATAACAATTCACAAATTCGTAAAATTATAATGGAGAAATTTTTTAAAATAACAAAAATGATTTATTTTGATAAAATTCTCATAAATATTTTAATAATTCAAATCAAAACTGTGACAGCAAACAAATACCGAAAGACAATTTTTTTAAAGTCTAAAAATCATATCCAACAAAATCTATTAAAGATATTATGATGAAGAAATAATGAAAGGTAATATATTTAGCACAAAAAAATATTGATCTGAATTCACACAACTAAAATTATACAATAAGAATAATATTTTTGAATTCTCCAATTCAGATTTTATGAGAAATTGAAAATTAAAACCCATGGTTAAAGGAACACTTCAAACCTAAGAACAAAAGATCTAGTGTGTGGAAGTTGAAGACAATATGCGCCAATTACAACCAGTTTCGAAAAAAAGTTCTAATACGATGACCAAAACGATTTATTCTATGATAAATAAATGAATGAAAAAAAAATTGAACCTCATTTATGAGAATTGAAGAAAGTCGTTAGCTTTCGTTTATTACGTAACTCCATCTTGAAGTTTAACAGCACACAAACGTTGTTGACGATTCTGAAAAACAAAATCGACACAATAACTTCTTGAGGAGACGACGATTCGGTGGTTGAATTTAGATGTCAGCAACCAAAAATAGAAGATTTAACGGCTTCCAGAGAATTTGAAAAAAAAGTTGTCTGACTGGAGATAGAAGATTCAATGGCCGACTGGAGAATTTGAAAAAATGTTGGCTTTCAAAATCTTTCATGAATTAAGGTAATTAACCCTTTCAAAATTCAAACGATAATTAAGTCCTTGATTTAGGAAACTTTTTATCTAATAAAACAAAATAGCAAAACAAGGAAACTGTCCAAATCTTGTATAAACTAAGTTAGGGGTAGTTACGTAATACAAAAAATATGCAAAACTGAAATGTATATCTGATCACCAAAAATTTAAGAGTTGAGGACTTAATGATGGAAATGTCTAAGCTGTGGATTTTAAGAAAAATAAGTTCTAAAAAGAACACAACCAATAAAAAAAATCGAAACTTCACCTGAACCTCTTATATTTACAGTTTTAACATGAATAGGAGACATTTTCTTCTAAGGGTAGTCGGGTATAATTAGAATAAGGGTGGACAATGGCGAACTATACCCGACCCGCTTGCCAACAGCTCTGGACAAGTTATGGGTTAGGCAACCGGTCGTCGGCAGTCCATAGATAGCGCCGGACTGGTCTGCCCAAAGACCACAACTCACCAGCCCCCCCCCTAAAGGTTCAATTACGGGCTCCAGAGTCATTACGCCACTTCTAATCTTCAAAAAATTGTGCCACTTAAAAGTACTCTTAATTTGCATTTATGTGAACAGAGCAATATTAAAAAGTTTCAAAGAGCTCATTGTGTACCAAAATTTGCATCAAATCACTTATGATAGCGTATACCAACATGAAAGAGCTTAAGGTGAAAGTAATTCGGGGTGAGCATGGATCAGAGCTACGAGACTCGTGTATGATGCTAACTGATAGAATATTCAGGAGATTGAAGAGGTGCACACAGTAAAAATATAGTAGTTCACTGGTTCAGGAATTCGGCTAATCCACTCTTCAATGGGTTCTTATTCCTTCCGTTTTATTCACGATGATTACAAAGCTGCTATGGCTTCCTATTGTCACTAGGGTCCTCTCCCTTGTTAAGAGGTGTTATATTGTATTTATAGTGTCATTCCCTGCTAAGTGGGATTCTGGCCGAGATTCTAGCCCTTACTTTGTGGGGTTCTCCCTAATTATAGGAGAAGATCTTGGCTGGTTGAGATTAGGTGCCTTGATTTTAGTTTCCTAATGCTTTAGGAACCTCTCGAGAATATCCAG